AGACAGCGGCAACGATAACTCACCAACACTGAAGACGACGACGACTTGCTCAGCTGGGGCTCGGGACTGCAGACTATGTCGTCAACATCAACGGCTTTCAACAACCGCGTTGCATCCACACTGTCTCAAATGTCTACGTGAACAACGACGGGACCGCCCCGCTGCCAACGCGGATCTGCTTCCCGAGCTCTTTCCATCTAGACGGCAACTCGGCCCAGACTGCGAAACTGAGCTAGAGCCATAGCGGCAGGCAAGACAACCACTCACCAATAATTTCCGGCTTTGACGCGGCCAACCGGCGAAATCCCCTTCCATCCAGATGGCAAATCGGCACAGACTGGAAAATAAGTTGGGGAACAGCGGCAGCAAGATGACGACTCACTGATAACCTCAGGCAGTCCTGCCTTTAACGCGGCCAGAGCCGCCCAAGTCCTGCCCACCATTCTCTCAGCAACTCAACCGAGCGCGGCATCGTGTCGCCAACACCGAGCTTTCCGGCCCTAACGGTACCTCGTCGTTCTCCCTCTGCGATGACCCGCAGCCAGTCTTGGCAACAACCTCGCCACCCTCGTCATCCAACCCGCTGCTCGCCCAAGGATTGCCGCACCGACACCAAAGTCGCGAAGACATCGATATCGCCAACCCTGACCGAACAGGACTGACCGAGCGGAAAGGCAAGGTGGTCTTTCGGGACAGCGCTGGTGAGTTGCTTCGCGTCGTTTGTGACCAAAGTCTCAACCACAGCAAAAGTTCATGCGGCCCGGTACCCCGACCACTGCAACGCGGTAAGTCGCTGCCTGCAGGAAAGAAATGGTGACGAACTCACGATGTCTAAGACATCAGGTTCCACCTCCCGGACAACGGTGTTGTCGTTGAAGACACAGACGCGCCGCATCGCCGACTACAACCAACAGGCTGAACTAGACACAACCAGTAAGCAACATAACAAGAATATCAAGACAGGACCACTCACCTTTACAACGATCAGCAACACCTCGGCGATACACAAGCCTCAAACAGAACACTGTAACAGGTCAGAACCAAGCCGAGAACGAAGCAGCGACAACTCACCTGCCGACAACGACAAGCCCGGCGAGCGTGTTGCGCAATGGTGTAGCGAACTCGGATGGGGGGGGCGGAGGATGGCGACAGCGGCATCAGAGCGAGGAGAAAAGTGGGAGAGAGAGGAAAAGGAGAGAAGGGGGAATGATGGAACTGTCGGATTGGGGCTGGGCTTTATATGCAGTGCCCGTCGGCGCTCGGCGTAGGCGAGCTATGACACACAAGGTGATCGCTCGCCGGAAAGGCGCATCACTGACAGGTGTACCTGGGCGATCTTGCTACTGCCGGTAAGGCGTGGAATCCGGTTTTGTGTGATTCGGATAGCTTTGCAGACGTATATTGAGCAGCGAATGTGTGTATATATACAAGAAGTATGATTGTATAGTCTGTACAGATAAGTTTCAGGACCTGATCATGCAATGCAAGAGACCAAAATCCAAAAACTGAGTTGGGGAGTGGAAAGTGAAATACGACATACCGGACAGCGGAGCGCCCAAGCTTTTAGGCGAGTGACATCAGGGGTGATGCCCAGCATGTTTCATGCTGACATCGCTGCAAGTTCGCCGTTGAGAAATGCAGAACTTTGGGGTGTTGTGTGAAATTGCGGCGGAGTAAAGGATCCCTTGGGGAATCGGAGGCGGCGAAGTTGGCGGAGCATGTCATCACGTGAATACCTCAAGTTCCGAGGGAAATCGGCCGACTCCCTGGCTCAATATGCCAGGAATCAGTGAAACAACACACCTTCGCAAGATGGCCTGTTCCTGGAGAGCCTTCGCCGCCGATGAAAGTTGGGTCCAAGAGGGTGATTACGTAAGCAACTCCTCCTGAATTTTGAGCACAATCGGAGCAGTTTTAGCCATAGAACAGTGGTTGAATTGAGAATTTCCCTTTTTGGCCACAGGCGGTAGCGCGCGATAAGGTCACGTGACCGGCTTCCGGGTGTCCGAGAAAGCATTATGGAACATTTTGACAGCTGCCGGACTGTCATCGGCTGGGGATGTTGTGTGTGTTCAATCGGGAATTGCCATTTCTGCATTTCCCAGCACATCTTTCTTTTGATTCTGAATCCTTTTGACATTTCTTCTTTCTTACTGTCAAGTCTCTTAATGCCTTCTAACTATGTTAGATTTCTAATCATATCATAAATTGCTTTTTTAAAGTGAAAGTTTTCACTCACTTTTTATTAGCACTACTGTACAAGTTTGATCAATTCCACATGTCACAATCATGCCCGATTTTCAGAGACTCCAGAAATAATTCTTTCTTGATTTTTGAGATTTTGTAAAGCTTTTGATTCTATCAAAAAGTGATGATCTGGCCGAATTGATCGAAGTAAGTCTGGTGATATAGTCTGATATTTGATATTTAGCCACTTTTTATTGGGACTATTGCTGGCTTCAAAGGCTGTTTTGACTGGCATGCAAATGTGGATTTGTCAGCCCCCACACTAGTTAAGATCCAAAATTCAACCAATATACAAGCTAGCACCCTGTAACTTAATTTTTTTTGTCAGATCAGCACAGGTGTGACATATGACCAACAAATTGAATAAAACAATATAGTACTCAAAACTGGTAAGAATCAATATACATATTTACTCACTTTTTATTAGGCTTATTTTGGTTTTGGCTAGCATATGAAGACAGATTTTGTCTGTCTTAACTTCTTATGCCCAAGATGTCTCCATTTCTGGTCTGACTTAAATTCCGCCCCCTGCGACTCTATTAGGCACATCACTGCTGCCATCCGGTGGTTTTCCGGATGATCTCCTAGGACCTGGCTTATGATATGGCCTCAGTACATATAGCTGCATCTATGCAAAAGATGTGGGTACCATCCCAAGGGGGTAATGCAAAAGATGTTATGACAGATGTATTTCATGAATTTCTCACTGGAATCAAGAGATATGACTAATATAAAAATACATATAGGAAGATAAATCACCTTTTCTTTGGGCCGAATATTCGTAATATTATATTTGGGACCTATAAGCCCAGGGACCAAAAAAATTCATAATCGATTAAGTAAGGTTGATGTAGCAAGATGCAGTCATCAAAAGCTCTGATGGCAATCAAAAATCGTTCCACATTGATCAACATACCTGGCTGCCATTGATCCCATCACTGATACCTTGATATAGCAGCCACAAACAAGAAAACAGTGTTATTTAATTTAATTTCCAAGCAGTTGCCCTCATCTTTTGCATTACCCCCCCTAGGATGCTACCCACATCTTTTGCATAGATGCAGCCATATGAGCTGATGGCCTTGATCTTCTCCAGGGTTGCCCTTACACTTTTACCCACTTTTTATTGGGCTTGCTCTGGTTTTGACTGACATATTAAGATAGATTTGTCAGCTTATTTCATTTTCACCTACTTTTTGTTGGAACTATTTATATACAGACCTTATTTGATTTTTAATATCAACAAAAGTTTTTGATTTGATTTTTTGTATACTTGGGTTTCTTGTAGATCAAGTCTGACCAGTGTTGTAGTCTCTAGGTACAATGTGATAGAGTGTGACAGATCATGTGGTCCAGTTTGATGCCCCATCACACCAGATATGAACTACAAGCAAGCATCATGATTTCCATGAAGAAAGGCTTAGATTTGATTTTTATCTCCTTTTTATTTTTCCAAGAAATGCTTTTATTATCAAGGAATTACCATTTTGGGAAATATTAAGCTCTGGATGTGTAGAACACTTTCATTTTACTACTTTTGTAACCTGCTAAGCCCAAACATTAGATTCCTATTAGGGAAAGTCTTTGTGGTTTTATAAATGCTTAGATTTGATTTTCACCCACTTTTTTGAAATAGTTGTCTAATCATCAAGGAATTACCATTTCGGGAAAGAATCAAGGTCTAAATCAACATTTGATTTGATTTTTGCCCACTTTTCACTGTGACTAAACTCAAACAGATTCCTATTAGAAAAAGTTTTTATTTGATTTTTACCCAACTTTTATTGGTCTTTATATCAGTATAAAGCTGTAAAGGTCCAAATTAGCATACTGGATTCCCTAGGCACTGATGATGTGACTAGATGTTTGCAAAATAATGTAATTTCCCAGCCAAAATCATATGGAGATATCAAGGAATTGCTATTTTGGGAAATGTTAAGTATATTTTACCCACTTTTTATTGCGACAAGTCTAGTTTTGGCTTCAGGTTAAATACTATTCCAGGAAGTAATTCCAGTTGAATCTCTGTTAATAAGGCCAAATTACCATTCTCGGAAGGTAAGGACTGCATATTCAATTAATTTTTATTGGAACCAAGTCCAGTTTTACTGGCTGATACAAGCTTAGTTAGATCCAAAGTCTATAATGAAAATTGATTTTTACCCACTTTTTATTGGGACAAGTCAGTCAATCATAAGCTCAGAATTCATTTTTACGCACTTTTTATTTTTCCATAAATCACTATTCTGGGCAGTAATTCAACTTTATTCAAGCTAAGTTCCATATATCATCATTCCCACTAAGAAAAGTTTTCATTTCATTTTTACCTACTTTTCACTGGTGAACTACCCACTTTGACTCACCCTCACATTTGATTTTTCTTACCATGCTACACTTCTGTATCAGAGTTAAATTGCGCAACATCGGGAGTTGAACTCAGGACCCAGATGAAACACTATCACATAACATAACAGTGTAAGGTCCGATCAAATATTCCGAGAATAGGTGACGCCAAGTGGTCACACAAAAATACTCTTCCTCTTTTCCCCCCATCGTCTTGTCGTTATGCTGGTGGGTGAGTGCTCTGTTGCGGGAGGCAATGCCAATTGCTCTTTCTCTTTTCCCCCATACTGGTGGTGGTGAGTGTTGTTACTATATGCTAGACTCGGAGTCATGGTCTAATGACAAGTTAGCAGCACTACAGAGACAACTCTTGGACTGGCGGACAAATAACAGCCTTCTCTGGTGAGTGCTTAGTCATCACTCACAGGGCTACAACAACAGAGTGAGATCAGCTTAGATTTACAACTCTCACAGTTCCGCTTCAGGACTGTCCTCGCGGCGGCTAGACTCGGATTGCAGCAATGCCTGCTCGAAACTGCGGCTAACTGCAGCAGCAAGAGGCACAGGAACAGCGTTGCCGATATGCTTGTAGTACTAGGGCCAGATAAACAGCAGCACAAGTCAAGTTCCGTGGCACCCACCTGACGGATGACACCTCCAGCATTGCTCGCGTCAGACCACAGCTTGAAGGAATCCGGAAAGCCTTGAGCGCGCTTAGCCTCCAAGACGGTGATCGTCCGTTTTTGCTGCAGACCAGGTCAATACCACTAAACAAACCGTGCTCCGACAAACCGTTGGATGAAGAAGCTGGCTCCCATGACTACTCGGCGATACTTGAGTCATCGCAGTCTTGAACGGCCCATTCTCGTCCAATTGCCCAAACTTCCGCGTCTTGTTCGGATTCAGCCGTTTGTGAAAAGCCCGTGGAAGATCTAGCAAATAGGATTCAGAAATGCGAGCAATCTTTTCTCTTTATTTACCAGGATGTCCTGCTTTGGGCTTCAACGGTACCGTTACCGTCGCCTCCACAACGAACGACGAGTACCGAAGTGTCACGTGGTCCTCTACCAAGGATGAGTTGCTGCGCCGCATTTCGCGTTGATAGCGGGTTTGGGGCTCTGTAAGATACGGCACAGGCTCGGCATATCCAACGGGCGTGGTAGATGCATCGCATTGCTTGATGCCAGACGCGAGTCTTGTTTGGACTGTCTTCTTATCCGCCGGAGTCTGGGCAATGACTTCGTGAGGGTTGATCCTGCCGGCGTCAGTAAGTGTGCGAAACGGGCCAGGAGGAGCTTACCAATCGAATTTGGGGAGGTCACTTGTCGCGTCTTTGATCGTGAACCCGGGATGTGGTGCAAAATTGTTGCCGTCTTCATCATCCGAGTCGGTATTCGCCATCCGTCCGCGTTTTGCGCCGCCAATGAAGTCGCCCTCGATGAAGAGCTTGCGCCGCTGTGCAGGCTTGAACACGTGCATCGGCAGTGGGGGTTTCGGTAAAACAGAGCCGCGCCGGGCAGCGAACAGGAAGAAGCGTGGTCGGTTTTGCACACATCCATGCTGCCCCGCCTGGGCCAAAATCGGCGAAACTTGGTAGTTCAGGGCGAGTAAGACGCGGGTGAGCATAGTTTGAGGCAACGTGATTGTTTACATAGATGAATCGCAACCAAAAAAGGTCTACTCAAAGTGACTGCCCGGCACCCCTCGGCCCGCAACCGCTCTCATCTCGAATAACCACCGCCGTGAACGCCCATCCAAACGGGCCGCCCTGCCGCCTTCCTTCCCGCAAGCCACTCCACACAACAACGACCAAGCGTTGTCCCCCGCTCTCCTCCTGATCCGCGCTTGCGCGTCTGGCCTGAAACGGCTGGATATCAAGGTCAGTCCCGCCCCGCCCTAGCCAGCCATAACGCTTACCCTACCAAAGAGAAGGCTCGCGCTGTCAACTCGCGGGCTCTTCGCGCGGAGAAGCCGTACTCGACATCCAGCTAAACTGCTCGGCGCTCCCGGTCCAACTCGTTCCGAAACCCATGCCAAACGAGCCGCCTCGTACAGCTTTCTCTCCCGCTCCTCAACACCGAATTGGCTATGACGCAAGGTCAGCGCCCGCAAACAGAGGCAATAACACATACCTTGCCGACGAGAACAACCCCAGACGTCAGCAGCAAAGCCTGAACTCGCACCACACACGGAAACAAACCACAAGTCCGTCGTGGAAATATCAGTGTTGCCCAAAAGCAAACACGAGACTGGGATGACCGCGCTCGCGAGGCCGCGTTGTTGTCCAGACTGTCCAGGTGTGTCAGCGCAAATAAAGGGAGTCGAAGAGAAGAAAGTACTAAACTGCCGTTCAGAAACTGTTCAATAACATCAATATTGTTGAGAAGCAAAGTAAAAGAAAGGTACAGACCGTATCTTAAGATGCCAAATGGAAGCCGTTCCGCGGCCCAGTCGTTCCGCGCGCACTCGTTTGAGACGAGCAGCATGCTCAGCACCCGCCGATGAAAGCTACAAACAGTCAAACGACTCTTCAAACACGTCAGTCAACAAATAGAGTCCAAAGAAAAGCTACTGACCGCGCAGCTCTCTCTCGTTGCCTTGTGGCCAGAATCCGCCCACCAAACGACCAGCGATTTATCCCCCCCACTTGAATCGTTGCCCAGACTCCAAGACTCCTCCCGCGGGGCCAAAAAACAACAAGAAACTGTAAAAAAACGTCAATATTGTGAAGTCAAGACAAAGCAGAGTACAAACACTGGTGCTCGCAAACGCGAGCGATTTCGCGGCCCAGTCGTTCCGCGCGACAAGCGAAACTCGTTTGAGACGAGCAGCACGCTCCAAACCCGCCGATGAGATGTACAAACAGCCAAGAGACCACTATTGAAGCATGTCAGCCGAGAAAGAAGGTGGAGGAGAGTACTAACCGTACAGCTCTCCAGCAAAACCACATCCCACCAAGCAGCCGCCCACCAAACGAGCAGATACCCATCGCCGACTCGAATCGATGCCCAGACCGGTGGGAATGCGAGAACCTCTCCCGCGCGGCGCAAGAACAGCAAGAAACTGTTTAACAACATTAATATCGTTAGCAAAAAAAGTAAGATACACACACACTAGTGCTCGCAAACGCGAGCTATTTCGCGGTCCGGTCGTTCCGCGGGGTAGGTCAAACTCGTTTGGGACGAGCAGCACGCTCAAGACTCGCCGGTACAAACAGCCAAGAGACCACTGTTGAAGCATGTCAGCCGAGAAAGAAGGTGGAGGAGAGTACTAACCGTACAGCTCTCCAGCAAGACCACCTCCCGACGAGCAACCGCCCAGCAAACGAGCAGATACCCATCGCCAATCCGAATGGCTACCCAGACCGGCGGGAACGCGAGAACCTCTCTCGCGGGGCGAAAGAATAGCAAGAAACTGTTTAACAACATTAATATTGTTAGCAAAAAAGCAAGATACACACACTAGTGCTCGCAAACGCGAGCAATTTCGCGGTCCAGTTGTTCCGCGGGGTAGCCAAACTCGTTTGGGACGAGAAGAAGCCGCCGATGAAAGGTCCTGACGGTCAGAACCGCTTGCAGACCGCTATTAAAACAAGTCAGTGAGGACAGAGTCAAAAGAACAAAGTGCTCACCGCACAACCTGGCTCCGTCAACGAGCTCGAGAGAACCACCAGCTGGATTGACACCCCAGTTGGCGCAGAGGAATGCGTTAAAGAGCTGGGAAAAGAGTCAGAGTTTGAAGCAAAATGAAGCCCACACACATACCGGGAACTCAAGGCAGCGTGAGCGCGACTCCCAAATGGCTACATGAAGGAAAATTCAGAGTCTTCGGCGTGCACGTGCGGGACACGGGCCGGCCGATCGATCGCCGATCGATCACGCGCCAATCTTCTTCCAGAGCCAACCACCACCAACTTCCGACGGGGCGCGCATTCGGGGGACAACGGGAGACCCACGCTGAACAATATCTTCAAGTATTACGACCACATGACTCACTGCGCCGACAATTGCTCAGTATAACATCAAGACAGCGGCAACGATAACTCACCAACACTGAAGACGACGACGACTTGCTCAGCTGGGGCTCGGGACTGCAGACTATGTCGTCAACATCAACGGCTTTCAACAACCGCGTTGCATCCACACTGTCTCAAATGTCTACGTGAACAACGACGGGACCGCCCCGCTGCCAACGCGGATCTGCTTCCCGAGCTCTTTCCATCTAGACGGCAACTCGGCCCAGACTGCGAAACTGAGCTAGAGCCATAGCGGCAGGCAAGACAACCACTCACCAATAATTTCCGGCTTTGACGCGGCCAACCGGCGAAATCCCCTTCCATCCAGATGGCAAATCGGCACAGACTGGAAAATAAGTTGGGGAACAGCGGCAGCAAGATGACGACTCACTGATAACCTCAGGCAGTCCTGCCTTTAACGCGGCCAGAGCCGCCCAAGTCCTGCCCACCATTCTCTCAGCAACTCAACCGAGCGCGGCATCGTGTCGCCAACACCGAGCTTTCCGGCCCTAACGGTACCTCGTCGTTCTCCCTCTGCGATGACCCGCAGCCAGTCTTGGCAACAACCTCGCCACCCTCGTCATCCAACCCGCTGCTCGCCCAAGGATTGCCGCACCGACACCAAAGTCGCGAAGACATCGATATCGCCAACCCTGACCGAACAGGACTGACCGAGCGGAAAGGCAAGGTGGTCTTTCGGGACAGCGCTGGTGAGTTGCTTCGCGTCGTTTGTGACCAAAGTCTCAACCACAGCAAAAGTTCATGCGGCCCGGTACCCCGACCACTGCAACGCGGTAAGTCGCTGCCTGCAGGAAAGAAATGGTGACGAACTCACGATGTCTAAGACATCAGGTTCCACCTCCCGGACAACGGTGTTGTCGTTGAAGACACAGACGCGCCGCATCGCCGACTACAACCAACAGGCTGAACTAGACACAACCAGTAAGCAACATAACAAGAATATCAAGACAGGACCACTCACCTTTACAACGATCAGCAACACCTCGGCGATACACAAGCCTCAAACAGAACACTGTAACAGGTCAGAACCAAGCCGAGAACGAAGCAGCGACAACTCACCTGCCGACAACGACAAGCCCGGCGAGCGTGTTGCGCAATGGTAGCGAACTCGGATGGGGGGGCGGAGGATGGCGACAGCGGCATCAGAGCGAGGAGAAAAGTGGGAGAGAGAGGAAAAGGAGAGAAGGGGGAATGATGGAACTGTCGGATTGGGGCTGGGCTTTATATGCAGTGCCCGTCGGCGCTCGGCGTAGGCGAGCTATGACACACAAGGTGATCGCTCGCCGGAAAGGCGCATCACTGACAGGTGTACCTGGGCGATCTTGCTACTGCCGGTAAGGCGTGGAATCCGGTTTTGTGTGATTCGGATAGCTTTGCAGACGTATATTGAGCAGCGAATGTGTGTATATATACAAGAAGTATGATTGTATAGTCTGTACAGATAAGTTTCAGGACCTGATCATGCAATGCAAGAGACCAAAATCCAAAAACTGAGTTGGGGAGTGGAAAGTGAAATACGACATACCGGACAGCGGAGCGCCCAAGCTTTTAGGCGAGTGACATCAGGGGTGATGCCCAGCATGTTTCATGCTGACATCGCTGCAAGTTCGCCGTTGAGAAATGCAGAACTTTGGGGTGTTGTGTGAAATTGCGGCGGAGTAAAGGATCCCTTGGGGAATCGGAGGCGGCGAAGTTGGCGGAGCATGTCATCACGTGAATACCTCAAGTTCCGAGGGAAATCGGCCGACTCCCTGGCTCAATATGCCAGGAATCAGTGAAACAACACACCTTCGCAAGATGGCCTGTTCCTGGAGAGCCTTCGCCGCCGATGAAAGTTGGGTCCAAGAGGGTGATTACGTAAGCAACTCCTCCTGAATTTTGAGCACAATCGGAGCAGTTTTAGCCATAGAACAGTGGTTGAATTGAGAATTTCCCTTTTTGGCCACAGGCGGTAGCGCGCGATAAGGTCACGTGACCGGCTTCCGGGTGTCCGAGAAAGCATTATGGAACATTTTGACAGCTGCCGGACTGTCATCGGCTGGGGATGTTGTGTGTGTTCAATCGGGAATTGCCATTTCTGCATTTCCCAGCACATCTTTCTTTTGATTCTGAATCCTTTTGACATTTCTTCTTTCTTACTGTCAAGTCTCTTAATGCCTTCTAACTATGTTAGATTTCTAATCATATCATAAATTGCTTTTTTAAAGTGAAAGTTTTCACTCACTTTTTATTAGCACTACTGTACAAGTTTGATCAATTCCACATGTCACAATCATGCCCGATTTTCAGAGACTCCAGAAATAATTCTTTCTTGATTTTTGAGATTTTGTAAAGCTTTTGATTCTATCAAAAAGTGATGATCTGGCCGAATTGATCGAAGTAAGTCTGGTGATATAGTCTGATATTTGATATTTAGCCACTTTTTATTGGGACTATTGCTGGCTTCAAAGGCTGTTTTGACTGGCATGCAAATGTGGATTTGTCAGCCCCCACACTAGTTAAGATCCAAAATTCAACCAATATACAAGCTAGCACCCTGTAACTAATGTTTTTTTTGTCAGATCAGCACAGGTGTGACATATGACCAACA